AGAAACAGAAGTATTTGGCAGTCTGGATGTTTGATCTGTTTTCTGGTGGAAAACGTTTTTAAAAAGTGTATTTTGGGTAAACTTTAAAGTTTCATTTCACGGGATGTGTGGCTGCTAAAGACAAGTTACAGAATATGACTTTTTAGCTAATGTTAAAATGCAGAAGTCACAAAAAGCAGTCCAGTAAAGGACTCTCACAGCTACAGCTGTGTCCGTCAGGTATTGATCGCTGTTTGGTTTCCACCTGCAGAGACCATCCACGCTGCAGGTGAGGGCACTCTACAAATTCACCGCAGAGGAAGACGACGAGCTCGAATTTTCCGCCGGCGACATCATCGACGTGGTGGATAACTCCGATGCGTCGTGGTGGAGAGGCAGGCTGAGAGGATCGACTGGGCTGTTTCCCGCAAACTACACAGAGCAGCTGTAAGGAAACGCCACAGGCGATGATTTTAAAACGCCTGCGTGCGTTCAGACTCGATCTGCGGCTGCGTCAGCTCTTGACGGGTTTCTGAACGTGAACCAGCAGGCTTCTGTATGTGCTGCGTGTCAGCCTCCTACCAGAGGACTGAGGCGGTGCAGCTTTATTTACAAAGGAGCAGAGACACCTGCAGGAACTTCCTACATGTTCACCTGGCACACAGGAAATCCTGCAAATGATGCCTGAGGATGTTGTTTGTATCATGACGTGTCCGTAAGCATGTTGTCTGAATGCTTGCTGGCCAGGCTGCTGATGATTGGACTGTCTGCTCACTTTTGACACATTTTTATCAAAAAATGTTATCGACTTTTTAAATAAACTTGTTTTTTATCACCACCTTCATGTTTAAATGATGCTCACTCATAACGAGGGCTTTCTGTGGGGTTTTATCACATTTTACCGGTGATATTCCTGATATTTATTTGGGTATTTCTATAGTTTTAAAGGTGAGTTTTTATTTATTTTATGTAAAATGTAATGTTTTATTCTTGGAGTTGGTCTCTGCATGATTCCCAAATCAAAATAATCTTTATATTTTATCTCTTACTGGGCTTTGGTGCAGCTACCAGCCCATTTTAACTCCGCCCCCTTTAAAGATACATTTTTGTATTTAACCTATGAATTAAACTCTCACCACTAGTGGGCAGTGTTTTACTAGAACGTTTTTAATGAATCACATTTAATCAACATTAATAAACGTTACATATAATTTTAGAGTCGTAGTAAAAATTATAAAAATGATTTGCACATCCATTTAAACGAGGCCGTGTAAGTCCTAAGTGTAACGTCAATACAAAATAAATAAAATGCAGTTGCTAAGAATAAAAAAAAAATAACCTAAAAATGTGAAAGTTAAAAGAACAAAACTGAGGTTCAGAATATTAAAGATGCAGTAAAACCTATAATTACATTTATTAGGCCCTGCTGTATAACCGAGTCATTACCGATAAAAAGAAGAAAAGACTATTAATGATGTGGTTAAAAAGCCATGAAGCACTAATCGAGCGAACAATATTCCTTGTGAGTCACATATCTACAAAAAGCTAACATAGCAAACAAACTGTTGCTGCATTTTTTTTTTATCGTTAATTTCCCAGACTCTGTGCTGGCGGCGATAAAAGTCGCTTCCCGAGTCCTTCAGCTATGGTTTAAATAGCTGTTCTGCACCGTCTTCCTCTCCGTCAGTATTTCCTCTTCCTCTTATGGCTGACTGGATGCTACAATCACCCCCTGTACCCTTTGTGGTTCAAATTTGCAAATGCACTGTTTACAGTTCGAGCGCACATTCACACCAGTACTTTTTTCTCTGCCCAAGCACTTTTTTCACACATTTACACAGTTCGACATTCAGACAGCCCTACAATATTTAACTTTAGTCGATTTGTCTTCAGTGTTGGGAAGGTTACTTTTAAAATGTATTCCATTACAGAATACAGAATACATGCCCCAAAATGTATTCTGTAACGTATTCCGTTACGTTACTCAATGAGAGTAACTATTCTGAATACTTTGGATTACTTAATATATTATCATGCTGTTTACAACTACGTGAATGTACTATTGCTGTGATTTATTACTGTTACTGAAGGTCCGCGGCTCCGAACCGTAGTAAAGGGACCTCTGACTAATACGGTGGGTTCGTGTCAGGCTCGTAGCCGAAAACTAGCTTTACTTTGTTGTCTGGGTCAACTTTGCTAGCAGAGACAGAGAGAGGCGTTGAAAGGCTGCTCCAACAGAACTTATTGTTTTTGGAGGAAAACACGAACACGGTGTACAGTCGAGTCTTAATAGCTTACTTACAACTGGGCTCGTCAGGCTCTCTTCTTGGCTGCACTGGTTATTATTATATTTACATGCTTCCAGCTCCCGTTTTTGCTCGATGACAGCTCATACTTTTCCTTTTTCTCCCTCCCTCGCTCACAGACACATAACGTGTATGGCAGTCCATTCTCCCTGCAGCACGGACTACACTGCCTATGATGCTACATTCTTTAGAGCTATACCTGTAGCATTCTGCCTATTAGCTTAGCACAACAACAACAAAAAGGCCTCTCTCACCCAGGACACACAGAGAGAGAGAGAGAGCGTCACCCTGTAACCATGGCAACCGTAACGCTGCCGCCTGGAACAACAGAACGTAGCTGTCAAACAAAACCCAAACAGGCCTGACGCGCGACAATATGAAACAGGGAAGTACCGCCGTGTAATCCATTTATTTCAACAAAGTAACTGTATTCTAAATACCACCTTTTTAAACGGTAACTGTAACGGAATACAGTTACTCATATTTTGTATTTTAAATACGTAACGGCGGTACATGTATTCCGTTACTCCCCAACACTGTTTGTCTTCAACACAGTACAAACACGATATGGAAATCATGACCGAGGTTGTTTCTTTAAATTTTTTTGGCTGTTTTAATTAATTTCGAAAGCTTTAAATGTGTTTTAAACACAGGAAGTTGCATTCGCTGCTTTTAAGGCTTCACTTTAAGCTAACTTTCTTCTGATTGGATGTCTCTCGCAAACAAGTGGGTTTGCAAGCAGGTGGGTGGGGCTTTGGTGCTCACAGCCAGAGATGGAAAAAGTTCATATTCACAAGGTTAATGTGAACATGAACCAATGGAAGACAAAACCTGACAGAAAATAACAGAAATCATGGCAGATGTACTTGAATTATTGTCCACCTGCTCAACATTAACCAAAACTCCAGAAGTACAGGTAAGGAGAGCTGCCCTTCAAAATAAAATCCCTATTAAAGACAAAGAAATTGCACTCGTTTTACTTTTTTGATTGCAAAGAACAAAGAACTCATTTAAAACTTCCCCACTGACTTTGAGACTTCTGGAATTAAATAAAAAGACACTTATCTACTTTATTTTTTCTTACAAAAATTCATGTGTGTATAACAAGCAGGTAGTTGTGGTGGTTGAAGGTGATCCTGTCAGTAGCTTGTTGTACAGTTATGGCACCTGGAATACTGAAGTGGAGATGAAAACAGCCCAACTCAATACAAACAAACCCAATATCACATTTCTGACAACATAAGTTAATAAAAAAAATGAAAATTTGCTCATAGACTATAAAATAGAAAAAAGCAATATATTCAATAAATCCAAACATCTGTACTCACTCACTGAAGAGTAGCAGGACAGCATCTATTTATAGCTGCAGAAAACAACCCCCATGTCTTGTGGAATGACATCAGTGACAGTTTTATCTGAAGCATCAGATGAAGGGATTTTTGAGCAGGGTACCAACGACACTTTTTAGTTTGCAGAGAGCACCGCTAATGTAACATGCATCCATTTCTGTATCAGAAACTTTCACACAGGCTCTACGTCTCGTTAAGATCCGGTGCTCTCTTACTTTAGGCCAGGGATGAGAAGCGATGTTTGGTTTCTAGGTGACTAAGATAACATGTGTGGAAACAGGAAGCTTTTACAGTAATATCTCCAGTTTTTTTGTTCTTTAGGTGCTTTTGTGTACCAGCATGGTGACATCGTGGTTAGCACTGTTACCTTACAACAAGAAGGTCCTGAGTTTGACTCCACCGTCTGTGAAGTTTCCATGTTTGTCGTGTTTGCGTCAGTTCTCGTCGGGTGCTCCTGCTTCCTCCCACAGTCCAAAGACATGCAGTTAGTGAGGTTAAGTGGTAACTCTGAATTTCCCATAAGTGTGAATTGTGTGTCTCTTTATGTTAGACTGGTGACGTGTTCAGGGTTTACCATGTCTGTCACCCTGTGGCAGCTGTGATAGACTCCAGCTCCTCTGCAACCCTGATAATGATAAGTGGACTTGAATAAATGTTTTTGTTCTGATATAGAAAATTTAAGATTTAATTCCTTACTTTTTGTGCAAAATCCCAAAACACACCATTTGGGAACCTTTGCTTCGGAGTTATTATAGTTTTGTATTTTCTAATTACTTTTTATTTTTATTCTATTTTGACTTTTTGCTTTCAGTTCAGTTTAGTTTCTGTTGGTTTCCAGATTGGATTTTTTTGTTTACGTTCAGTTTAGATTGTTTGAACATTTTTAGGTTTATTTATTTATTTATTTTTAAAATTTTCACTCTTAGTTTTAGTCTTTTTGATTGTTATTGAATGGAGGGAATATGTCATTGGCAATATTTAGGAAAACCAGTACAGAAAGTACAATAACAAGACAGTAATAAAATTTTAAATGTAACAGAAATTTATACCAAACTGAAAAATATATAAACTTTTTATTCTTGGTTTTGCTGTCCTGTCCGGCACTGCCGCAATCAGAATTCTTGTCTGAAGGCCAAGAAAGGTCGACTTCATAGTCATAGTTTATTAGATTTTTATCAGAACGCACAGGACCGAAGAGAATAAGGAAAGAGAAGTTGGGAAGAGATTGAACAGAAGGAGAGGGAGAGAAAAATAGAGAAGAGGGATAGATGAAAATCTGCTTCAACACCTGCTTAAAAAAACAAAAACAAAACGAAAACAACACAGCAAGGAAACCATAGCAACAACCAACACAACCACGAGTAACAGTAAATAATAAATATTAAATGTTACTGAGCAGCACATGGTATTAATGATGCATGATATGTTTCGAGGCAGCGGCTGACCAAGACAGTGAGTGTCTGTGAGTACTTGTTTGCAAACCTGTGTGTGAGTGCGCTTGTATTCATAAGGTTTCTCCATGTAAGTGCTTGATAGTGGGTGTGGGGAGCCACAGCCCTGCCCCCCAGGACATGAAGCAGGCATGGAGGAGACCCGGGTCCCTGACATCTACAGACCCCCTCAGAGCACGAAATCCCAAGGAGGACCATCGCAGGGGCGACGCCACCCACCTGGAAAAGGAGGAGAGCTCCGGACGAGGGTCACCCAGAAGCCCCGGTGGGCAGCAGTAACAACGAGCCTGCAGGCTCCACAAGCAGCCGGCTAAGCCAGAGCAGACTGAGCCCCGGACCCAGAGACCCGAGAGCCCCCACACCCTGCAAGGGGGGCCAGGCCCCGCCAAGCAGCAGAGCCAGAGTGAGCCAGTGCACACCCGAGCACACAGCCCTGGACAACGAGAACTTTTTTCAAAAGTCTAGTTTTTATTTTTATTTTAGTTACCTAAGATGCTTTTCTGCATTTCGTTTTAATTTGAAGTATTTTTTAGTTGGGATGCAAAACATAAGACTCCAATCCGACCTGCTGGAAACCTTCGTACATAGATTTTGAACTTTTAGCTGCATTGTCATAAATTTTGCAGCTTTTCAAAGACTCCTTCTGCATTACCATTTATACTACACCAAAGTAGTCAACTAATAGATAAAACAATGAAATGACATAAAAGTTCCTGTTTTCCACTTTCAACTAAAATCTCTGTTTTTATTATGCTGTCTACAGTTAAAAATATTTCTGTGAATTAAAAAAACTTGTTTTAATGTTTTATAAATACAGAACCATCTGGGCAATGAGCCACTGTTGAAACTGCGTTTCTAGTTCTCATATTAGGTCAAGTAAGCGATTAAATGAGTAGTTAAACTTCTTTACAATAGATAATAAACTAGTGTGTAAATGGCCCATAACATAAAATAAGTTTGTCTCTGGTTAACTACAATAACGCTCCTCTACTCTGAAGGATCCACCACTGACAAACTTCCGTTGTTGCCTTTTGAAAGTTGTACTCTGAAAGTTTACAGGCCGGATGTTCTTTAATAACGTGCCTGTTGGCTCCGCCCCCTTGCTACCTGTCAGCACAGGTATTGCGGTTCTTGGGAAGCAGCAACAGCAGCAGCGGAATCAGCAGCGGTGGCGCACTGAGGGGGAAGTTCTTTTTAAATCTTTGGGCCATGGCGGAGTCTCAGCTGGTGTGCATGGATGATGAGCACGTTAACGAGAAGGTCCCGGAGTCCAAGCCGGAGTTTTACTACAGTGAGGAGCAGCGTGCGGCCCTGGAGCAGCTGCTGAGGAACGGGGACGGAGCCTTCAAGATGCGCCTCCAGGAGGACAACACCAAAGACTTCCTATGCGCCCGGGAGGTCAAAGTTATCCGCAAAACCTTCCACGAGTACGACACGGACAGCGACTCCGAGTCCGGGGAGCACGACAAGTCCAAGGGCTCCTCCAGCGCGGACTCCGGGGTCCACTCCACCTACTGGCCCGAGATGTCCGACACAGAGGTCCCGAGTCTGGACATCGGTTGGCCCGGCAGCAGCGGCGTCTACAAGGGGGTGACCCGGGTGTCCGTGTACACCCACCCCCCCAAAGAGCAGCGACCGCACATCAAGGCGGTGGTGAGGAGGCTCATCCAGGAGTCACACAAGGTAACAGAAAAGAAGAGAAACCCTGCACATCCACCCTGTTTACAGCATCTAAACCAAACTCAAATTTACGCACAAGTGTTTTAAAGTTTTGCTTTAATTATTCACATTTTTCTATAATAACCCATCAAATTTGGGACACCCTGACTTATAGGAACTTCAGTCCTTTTATTTGTTAACCTGAAGCGCTAAAAACAGTCAGGGCTGCAGGTGAGTGTTCGCTTAGTCTGTGATGTAGTGCTTATGAAGCCAGAAAACAGTGAGAAGTATTCAGTTTTGTCCTGATTTAACTTCAAACCCACAGAGATTCAAATTCTACAGGCAGGAAAAAGTGAAACTTTAAATAAGAAGAAACCTCTGAGCTTTCCTGCCGAGCACTTTGCTTCTTACATTACAAAGTGCTGATACAAAAATGTGACTGCATGCATCAAACAATAAAACAGGTGGAATAAAACACCTGCAGATTCAGATTAACGAGTCAGCTCCCGCACCTGAACCAAACAAAGGAAACTCATTTCTTATATGGTGGAGCAATTAAAGGAGAAAGTCCCTGACCTACTTCTAACAAAGAAGGAGAATGACACTGTAATACTAACGGCGATTAGCTGCAGACGCTCACCTGACCACGAAAGTGACAAAGACCCCCCCCTTTCCCCCCAGACTTCGCCGGTTACAGTCAGTCCTCATGTTTCCTGTCTTGCTGAATTCATCACGTAAATGTCAGTTTGAGTTAAAGCTTCAGCTTTTTAGGATTTATTTTGATCGCACAGGACAGGTGGAGTGAACTGTGAACAGGGACGGCCTGTTAAAAACAAAATAATATCAAAAGTTTTGATAATCGATCTTTTTAGGGTTAAAAAATACTTTTAAATAATTTAAACTGTCCATATAAAAAAGGGGTTCGCTGCCTGAATTGTTCCAAGAATAGTTTTTGGACCGAGTTTGTTTTCACCCCGATGAGTCGTGTAGCACTTCCTTCCTCCAGATTCATCCTGTCACGCAGTAATTGGATGATTAATTTGATAATGAGAGTAAGTTTTCTCACTTTTAATATATAAGAGTTATGGAAAAACAAAGCAAAACAGGAGAATATTCACTATTAACAATAATAATCTTTAGTTTCAGGCCTGCTTGAATAAGGATTATTCAAAGATTTCTTCAATAATTCAATCTGTACCTTAGTCGTCCATACTGTCACGTAGGCATATATATGTACACTTTGTACATGTACATACATTTTGCAGGTTTACATCTTGATAACTGCGCCGTCTTCACAGTTTAATGAGTCGCCACAGAGCAGAAGCTGCAGGCGGGTTTCAAGTTTTTCACATTTGTTGTAACTCAAAGAGCTTTTTGTCATTTTTCAGCTGTAAGTCAAAGTGAAAATAAAAGATACACATCTGACTTTTTACCTGGAATTTCCATCGTCACGGCGCAGCGCTCTACTCCGGTGCTCCGAGTTTCAGCTTGCAGCATAAAAGGGAATGATTGACTCATTCAGGATTTCTTTGGGAACGTCATAGTGGGAAAAGCTGCTGCTGTTTTCTTTTCAAACAGAAACTCAGTTGGGTTTATTTCTTCATATATTCCCTCTGATACTTCTCGTGGGACATCTGTACCTTTACATAAAGTAGTTGTACTTTGTGGCCTTCAAGTATAGGACTTAAATTGGTTTATTTCAGACAGAGGATGAGCTGAAGGGATGTACTGAGGTCTAGCATAAGATAAAAACGGATCATTTTGACCTGTGCTACTTAATTAGTGACCAGTAATAAAAACATCGAACTGGAAATGTTGTGAACCGAGAGGCTAATAAGAAGAAAAGGTTGTGGAGGCCCGAGTAAGTCCACTGCTGTGTTTGAGGTTATTTTAATGAGTGGTTCTCAGTTTTTGGCTAAAGGTTGTTCTGTTGTCAATGTTGCCCTGAAAGAGACGTCGTTGTGTTTCTATCTCGTTGGGTCCCTGCAGACAGGGTGGTTATGACTAAAACATGATCACCTGATCACCCATCGCTGTCTTTATGAAGAGAACTACTGACATTAATGCACTCCTGAGGTGCTCCAAGGTTTTTCCTGGCTTTATCTGGTGTTTAGGTTCCTATTCCACATGTCGATGAGATTCTTTTGAGTTTTCTCTCGTGAGTTATCAGAAAACAGATCAAACAATCAGGGTAGCAGGGGTTGATTTATTAAAGTTTTCTGTTAAAAATGTCAATCATCCTATGATACTAATGCTAAAAGCTGATTATGGGAAACATAAAAAAGGTAAATAAATAATAATTAAAGATAAAATAAATATTTTTGGAGCATTGTGATTAGGGCTGCCACAAACGATTATTTTGATAGTCGACTAGTCAGATCATCATCCATTGGACGTAAAACATACAGCTTATTGCACCAGCAGCATCTGCTCTTATATAACTATCATTAGCTTACAGCTTTAAGTGTTTAAGGTATGTGCT